TCGTTCTTGATTTTGTCTCTTTTTAAATAKGCATATTCAGGCTAGACCTGAAATGACGCAGCTTCTTTCTATGCAACGCTTCCAAAAGCTCTACTTTCTTTCCCAGCTGCTTCATCAAAACTTTGGTCATGGCGTCATCATCTCCAGTCTTGGTATTTCAAGTTCTTCCTCTCTGTTATGAAATCCCACTTTTTCTRCCTCCCTAGGGATATGAAAACCAGTGCTGCAAAATTTGTTTTCCTGCTGTATGGAGCATTCCAAACCCCTTTTGAAYCATCTTCCCCTGCTGCCTCATATCWGTCAGAAGTTTCTTGTCTTCACCTGCTGGATGAAGTGCCTCACCGCTGAAGTCTTTCCCAGGTTAGCTGATCTTGAAGTGAATCCTGGAGCGTGCAGTAGCCTCATCTCAGTGTCTTTATTCACAAGTCTAGCAGAAGCAGGGCTCACAGCAAGGGCTGCTCCTGAGGGAACCCAAGGTGCTGAYTTGAGTCGGGGTGCAGGGTGCAGGAATAGAGACTGGCACTTCCAGGGCTGGATCTGCCCTGGCTGTTCTGGTTTTAGACTGCCTCTGTACTCAATTCTCTCTCTACCTGTGTTTATACAACAAAGAGTAAACAATTCTTACTGACATCCTTAGGTGCAGTTACAAAACTACAAAGCCCACCGCTGTTCATTAATTGCAATCCATCTCCTGTTTTTCTGTGATCACTGCCTTGTGCTTTGATAGAATCTAACTCTGTCTATGAAACTAGATTTCAAAATTTACAAATGCAAAGAATTTAACAGTAATTTCTTTTTCTTTYGCAATAGAATCTTCTGATCATAAAAGATGATTGTGTTGTTTAACCCTTTGACCTATCTGTCAGTGTTGTTTAAAGAACAAGATTTTCTTGCAGAATTCTTGTGATTGGATAGCTACATCAGAGAAAATRGTTGTTTTAAATTACGTATAATGAAACTGAAACCTAAATAAATAAATAAATAGTGGATAATACAAAAGTTTGGCTTTCTATGTAACTTTGAACCAAGAAATCATATACCCTATTCCAATAGTTTGAATGGGGATTATCRTATTCTTAAAATTTACTTAAAATATGCTTTTCATGTCACTGCCATTCCTGGCAGTGGAGTTTACTGGTTACTGTACTAATGCCCAACTGTGAGATTGTAGCTGTAATTTTTTTTTAAAACAGCCAATACTTGATACATTAGCTGCAGCTTCACTTCATCATAGTCTGTACTTTTAATTTTTCTTAACCTGGAGAACATAATTAAGAATTAGGAGACTTGTCCTGCTGGATTAATTCTCACGGGTCCCTCCCTGATCCTGACAGTGGTCAGTAATTGATTTGTAGGCGGGAGATCACCAGAACAGGGACACGTGGGAACAAAGTGGTTTCTTTGTGTAGCCAACCTGCCTTCGGGGTGCAGCGCTTTAGAGACTTCCCGAGCYACAACTGTGCCCCTGGCCGCTGTGCTTAGTAGCTGCTTTATGCTGCTCTGTGACTTTGTCTAACCTTTTGTCACTCATTTGCAGTTTCGTTTTCCACAGCCCCTTGTGGCAGCGACTTCCACAGTTACATTGATTGTGTCAGTGGAAAACAGTATCCTTTTTTGTTTGTTTAAACTTGTTTCTTCGTACTGTCACTGGGTGTCCCTTAGTTCTGCTATTTTGAGACTTTCTCTGTTCAACTTCCCGGTGCTGCTTCGGAATTTACAGACCTCTCTTTTATCTCCCTCTCACTTATCATTTTTCCGAACTGGAAAATATTAGGCTATGTATTCTCTCCTGTGTAAGTTGTTCCTTATTTCTGATCGGCCAGGGCAATAAGGAAACGGATGTGAAAAAGCAGCTTATCACTACAGKAGAATACCGAGGCAACTGAGCTTGAGGGCTGGCATTCCTCTTCCAAAATACCCTTGTCAATCCTGAGGACAAAGTATCTCCCTCATATAGTTACACCATTAACTCACAAAGTATCAATTTGTTTCCTATGTGTTGAACGCTCTTCTCTGAGACAGAATGTAGGTTGAAGGGTGTTGTTCTTGGTTTTAAAGTTTTGGGGGTTTAAGCAGAGAAATACAATTAAAGAACTGCAAAGCTCAGCATGACAAATTGGGAAACAGCAGAATTAAGATTCGGCTACATCATGGACTTGCTATCATGGATTTGTGTATATATAACATCTTACTGGTTCTTAATTAGCTCCACAAGTTGTAATTTCTCTGTGGATCTCTGTTAGTCACTGCAGCAGGCAGTCAGGGCTGTCCTGCGTCTGTGGAGGGAAGGAGGCTCCTGCCTGTGGCACCCTCCCCTCGTTTGGTACAGAGCTGAAATGTGTGTTGAATGTTGAAAATCTGGGTTTCTTGGGAAAATAAGCAGGAGGCAGCATGGATTGCTGTCCTTGCCTCCCCTCACAGCTCCAGTGCTGTACAGGACAAGTTCCTTCACCAAAGATTCCATGCGTGGCTATTCTGGGATTTTTTTGGTTTTGTAGAGAGGAGGAGCATGTCTAGCTTGCTGATGTTATTATGTCATTTGGGAACAYGATAACAGCTGTCTGTCATTATGTATTGGCAAAGGGTGCACATCTGTACAAGTGTGTAAGATTATCCACACATGACATTGTTGCTGTGTATCTTCACAAAATGGGGGAGAGGAAGGGAAGAAGGAATTCCCTGAAAGCAGGTCTAACAGCAGAACTTCTTCTTCATTGTAATATGGCCATTGCCGAGTGTTTTGGGTGTCTAGAAACATCCTGGGCAGTAAGGCATTATCTAAAGGCACAGGACAGCACTGGAGCAGCAGCCTGCCCCCAGCCGAGGCGGTGGACATGCAAAGGACCAGGGTGAACTCACCGCACACTGCAACCTCTGACCAGGTTCAGAACGGGATGAATATGGGGCTGTGACACCCAGAGGGAGGTGGCACTCAGATGAGAGGGTGGAGTTCATCTGAATGGCCTAAAGGAGTAAGAAATCCATTCACGTGCATGGTTACAAGAAAACCAGATGAAGAGTGGTGAAGGGCTGTAGTCAGTATGACTTTTTGCCATTTTTTCCCCTCTTGGTAGGAAACGACATTAGCGTCGTTTTGGCTTGAAACCTCTCTTGTGTCCTGGCACGGCATCTGTACGCAGGGTCACCAACACCTCCCTCCCCATCCCGAGGGCATCCAGAGCGGCTCATTAATGTTGATGAGGCACTCAGACGGGCGCCCCACCAAAGCCCATGGGGACATCGCTAATTACCTTCGCGGCGCGCTGTCTGGAGGTGGGGCAGAGGGGACACCCGGGGGCCGCCACCGCCCGCACGACACAAACACAGCGGCGTGGCGGGGCCGAGGGGCGGGGCACCCCTCATGCATATGCGAGAGCTCATTAGCATGGCGATGAGCCCGGCCCCGCCCCCGCCGGCTGTTTGCACCGCGGCCGGCCCCGCCCTCGTTCGCATGTAGATAAGGGATCCCGCCCCTCATGCATATGCACCCTCATTAGCATGGCGATGAGCGGCCCCGCCCCCGGCGGCCATTAGTGCCGCGGCGCCCTGGCTGCGGGGGCGGGCGGTGCTGTGC